CAAAAGTTCTCCGAGGATGATGCAGTCGAGATCAGAGCTACGCTGAGTACCGACACAGCCAACGGTCAACAAGAGGAGGTCGGTCAAGCCAATGGTTCAGACTATACGGGTCTATGTGGAAGACGCACTTCAAGCCGACTGGGATGACATCGCCGAGAAGATGGTACACGCTATCAACAACGCAAGAGATTTGACTCGGCGAGAAACCCCTTTCTATCTGGTACATGGTTGGGACGCCAAGTCTACACTCAAGGCCATGACAAGCTCAATACGACGTGGACAGGGACGCCCAGTCAACTCGGCGGACGCAGTCGAGTGGCGCCGAGAAGCGAACAGACAACGAGAAGTTGCCCTTCGATTAGCAGCTGAGTTCCAAAAGTACGACGAGCTCGAGAGCACAACGAAGCGTTGAGCAAGAAGGAGAAAAGATCCATCCCCAACACAGCAGATGACGAAGATGGAGTTGCAGAACCAGGCGATGAATCCACCAAATCCTGTGTTCAAAGAAGGAGAATCAGAGTCTGGTGTGTATATGGAGGCGAGTTCAGTCGGGCCTGACCAAGAGAGTTTAGCCCACCGATGACATGGAACACTTCGAGGGGTGAAGAGGAGGGTGGAAGAATTCGCCTATGAATTGGAGTTACCCGACAAGAGTGGATATAGGTTCTACCCAGGGGCCCATGTATCACGTCTGAAGGCAGTCACCGAACTCGGCGGAAGACCAAAGACGAGGCTTATCGCCGACCTCGAAGAGACTCAGCGATTTGACTTTGACGAGGAATTACTGCCTGAAGACAGCTGGGAGCCAGACACAAGTACGAACCAGTATGAAGTCGAAGCAATTATCGACGATGAGCTACCATTATCCACGAGTACGTCACGATCACAACGGAAGTTTAAAGTTAAGTGGGTCGGCTACGATGAGCCTACTTGGGAACCACTGTCGAATTTGTCATGTGGAGGTCTCCTGTTTGACTATCTACGACAGAAGAAGCGTGAAAACCGTCTGCAAATGGTGCAAGTTGCAGATGAGGATTAACAGCTATTGCACCAAAAAATACACCAACTCAGCGGACGACATAGGCCGAGTTGAGATGGAATGCTACTGTGTCGAAACTACATATACTGAATATATACGAAATGAAAGTCCTGAACGAATCGTACGAGGACGCCCAGTCAAAAGAAGAAAAACTAAAAAGTCGGCGATCCAGACTCCAAGTAGATTGAACCCGACGGAGACAACTGAGAAGAGCTCAGCGGACTCGACGATTGGAGGCGTGGCGTCGTAGCAGACGTCATCCCTTGGGAAACTGCGGAAGGAGATGCAACATTCGCAGCCGTGGCAAGAAGTATCATCGCCGAGCTAGCCAACGAAGCTGACGCCGAACCAGTTACCTCAGGACCCGACTCGGCCGAAGTGGGCTGAGGCGGATCCGTTCCACTGGAAGTGGGGTGCCGAACAGAGACATACTCGGAGACGCGCCTCGGAGATTGGGAGAACCCAACCCATCGTCCGCCGAGTCGTCATCAGACGCACTCTCGTCATCTGAGCCGAGCTCACCGATTGAAGACCCAGTGAAGATGTGGATGCCTTGACGATTCAGCCGAGTTGGAGCGCCCTGGGCATAGGCAAGAGGCGCTAGTTCGGCAAGATCGAAGTCTTCTTCAATCGCGTCGTCAACACCCTGAGGATCCATGCCGCGCGGAGCGAAAACCAAGAAGTCCACGTTCCGAGCGCGGAAGCAGGTGTTATACGGGTGGATCGCCGGGTCAGTTAGCCACCAAGCTCGCCAAGGCTCGGCTAGATCCACATCGTGAGCACATTGGACCCAGTCTTTCCCGGAGGGAACCCACGAAAGGTTAACGGGAGAGTAATGTGGTGAAGTGCTTTCTCAGAAATAAGAGAATGGTCCTGACGCGGGGTCACTATCCCGAATCAGTGACG